GCCCCCGGCTGCCCCGCGGAGGCAGAGCAAGGAGAGCAGCCTCACGGTGAGTCCTGGCGGGGCGGCGGGCACGGCAGAGCCCTTGGGGCACGGAGGAGCTGGTGGGGAGCTCCTCGGTGGGGAGCCGGCGACAGCCACCCGGCCCTGCGTGGGGATGAGGTGGGGGGCCCCGATGGCATCCCCGGCTGCATCAGCAGGAGCGGACGCTGCCATCGAGACAGGGGAGGCTGCACTTGGCGCCCGTGCAGCCGCATCTGGAGGGCTGCGTGCGGTCTGGAGTTGCCTGCACACGGGGGACAGTGATGCAAAGGAGAGAGACTGGAGGAGGCTGCCAGCATGAGCAGGAGCTGATGCGAGTGATGCGGGAGGGGAGGCTGAGGGAGCTCGGCCCGCAGACGACCAACTGCACACGGGTCTCTAGCCCTTCAGGCAAGTAGAAGGGGCCAGAATCAGAGCCTGGTCAGGGGGACACAGTGAGATGACAGGAGCAGCGCTTGTGTCGTAAGAAGGGAAGTTCCAGTTAGGCAGAAGGAACAAATTCTTCACCGTGAGTAATTTTGCTGTGGTTAAGCACTAAGAGTCCCAGAGAGGCTTTGGGATCTGTGGCTTTAGGGATTTTCAAAAGATGGTTCAAATATGCCCTTTCTTATGATTCTGGGATGAACAGGAGGTAAGGAAATAGCTGAAAGTGGGAATGTGCTTTCTGCAAAGCTGCTGGCTCCGGATCAGGTGTCCTGAGCACCCACTGAGCTGTTATCCAATTTCTCTTTGCCCTTGCTCCAAAGTGCCCTGAATACTTGAAGAAATATTAAAAAATTGAATAAACAAAAGTTAAAGAAAACACTCATTGCCCTTCCAGACTCAAATTTTTCTCAAATACCTTTTGTCAAACAGTGTTTTTTCTCCTCGGTCCAGTGTTTTTGTGATGAAAAGTGAGATTTGTGATGAAAAAGAAATTTAGGTGTCAGTGTGCAGTTAATCTTGCACTTACTTTTAAAAATTAAATAGAGTTGGTTCAATTAAGGTGTTTTCATTATCACATTTACAGACATTAATGTCATCAGTATGACTGAGGACGTCATCTGGAACACAGTTTGCAATTCTGGACTTCTCAGTACAGGCAAGATATTTAAAAACTGGATGGAAATCAAAAGAGATTAATAACAGTGCCTGGAAATAGAATGGTTTATTTAAAAGGAAGTAATAAAGAAGATAAATGAATAAACAGTGATAAAGGAAAGCGAATAAACATAATTACAGCCTGCAAACACTGGAAGGGTGTAAAATCCAAGGCAACAGAAAGAATAATTTAGTGTTGTACGTTATTGCTTAATTGTATGACTGTTTTTACAAGAAGGACGTTATTGTCTTGTCTACATTCTCGAGTATAGCTTGTTGCTTTAACCATCAGTGTGTGTAACTCCCTGATTTTTTGATGACAGCAGGTGGGGTTTCAAAAGGAATTTTCATACCAGTCTCAGATGGGACTGAAACATAAGCCATGTAGATAGCATTTTCTGGAAAAAAAGTAAAATGTCTTCAGTAATATGCTTGGTTATCAGAATCAGTCTTTAGGATTGAAAAATGTGTTGTAGATATATAGAGATATTTTGGTACAGTTATGAAAGAATTCTAAGTCTATTGGTTTTGACAGATTTGCAAATGTCCTGGGGAATCAGCTGGAGGATCTTCAGGGACGTGGTAGCTGGGACTGGAAAACCAAATTTTTGGGCTGGTTCTCAGCCTGCTCCCTATCGGTATCTGAGAGACAGGGGCAGACCACAGATTTAATAGGAGGAGACCACAGATTTAATGGCTGGTCCTCTTGGGCTGGACATGGCCTCTGGATGGGATGTTCTGTGTTTCAGAATGCCGTAGGAGCACGGAGGCATGCATGTTTCTGCAGAACTTGCTATTTCTAGGGGTGAGGACTCAGGTTGTTCACTGAGGGTGGTTTTATACTGTTTTTTTTCTGCTGGCCTCTGTGCCATCTGGTAGTGTCTGCAAATCAAGGAAGTGTTGTGTTATGTAAGGATCGCCGCGTGTGCATTTCTGTAGCAGAAGTCCTACGCTTTAAAATATGGTGCATCAGACAGACAAAAACAAGCTAATTTTAACAGTTGTTTGCCCCAAGCCATTGCTTGCATCAAGAGAGTATTATGAAAGATGGTATTCTTATATCTAG